AGAGTCTGACTGTCAGTCTTCCCCGTAGATGAGGCCCCAGTGGGTTATTCAGTGCCAAGTGGTCAACCCTAAAAACATGCAGGCAACACTAAACAGACTCAGCAGTTGTATTTATATATTTGCTTATTTATTTGTTTGTTTATTTGTTTGTTTATTTTTGTGTTTGTGCTTATGTATAAAGTTATAATAATTAAAGAATGAGAAACTATGAATGTTAGAGGGAGCAGGGCAGGGGTAGGGTGAAATATGGGAAGGACTTGAGAAAGGGGTTATGTAATTAAAATTTTTGAAAAGTTACAAAATCAAAATAAGAACAGTCTGCTCCTCTGTTAGCTCTGTCAGTCTTATACTTTATGATTTTCTTTCCTCCCCTGCCTCTCTGTCTTGTTTGTGAGCCCTCAAGGGCTTCTCATACCAGCTCCTCATGGCATCCCCGAGCATCTCTGATTCTTAGAGATAAAATGTTCCAAAGACCTTTACAATTTTAGTATATCATCAAATTAACTTTTTTACATCATTACTTGGGAGTAGGTAATGTTTGCCCTTTTTTTTCTATTGTTATGATCTGTTGCCAGAGGTTTCTGTCCCACCTGGTCCTACAGCTGTTCAGTCCCAAAGAAAAATACTCAGAAGTCTACATTAATTATAAACTGGTTGGCTATAGTAGGAGACTGTTTGTTAGTTCATTCCTGGCTGCTCAGCCCTGGAAAAATCACACAGAAATTATATTATTTGCAATACTGTTTGGCCAATAGCTTAAGTGTATTTCTGGCTAACTCATATCTTAAATTAACCCATTTCCTGGTTAAATTTCGGCATCTGTCTCCGCAGGGCTACATGGCTTCTCTCTTACTCCGCCTTCTTTCTTCCAGCATTCAGTTTTCTTTTCCCTGCCTAGTTCTACTCTACCCTATCACAGGCCAAGGCAGATTCTTTATTCATTAACCAATGGCATTCACAGCATACAGAGGGAAATCCCACATCAGTTGACCTATTAACTCAGGATTCTTACTAACTCTCATGTCTTAAATTATCCCATAATTCTTGTCTGTGTTAGCCATGTGGCTTTGTACCTTTTACCAGTGAGGCATTCTCATATTGCTTCCTCTGTGATGACTGCAGACTCAACCTTTCCTCTTCCCAGAATTCTCCTGTTCTGGTTGCCCCACCTATACTTACTGCCCTGGCTACTGGCCAATCAGCATTTTGTTAAAGCAATACAAGCAACAAATCTTTCTGGGTAGAAGACCATTGTCCCACAGAAATGATGTACCTAAACTAAATGAGGACTTTATGACAGGCAGGCCTCTGATACAGCCTCGTTTAGTTAAATGGTTTTCTGAGAATGAAAGAAGTTAGAAGTAGGGCTGAGCTTAATTGGTACTTTTCTCTGCAGACTGAGATGAATTTGAGTCTATCAGTGAGAATCATTTCCTTGTCTACATCTTGATCTGTGCTATACTTGAATTTTTTTTTTTTAGAAAGCTGCCTGATCTTGATGCATTTTTTGGAGACTGTTTAGTCTAGCTAATGTTGCAGGATTGGTGGTGAGGAGGATTTAAGTGATCCTTTAATTTTCTTGTACTCGTTTGTCTTACTCAATTTAGAAACCGTGTGATATTGGCTTCATACATTGTTTGTTAGCTTTAACTTTTTCTGTTCTAACAGCTGTGTACAAACCATGGTTTGTTCCTTAAAGCATGGTGGCACACATTGTTTGGAGTAATGTAATGTTGTTTATAAACAGGCTACAACAGGTTAAAGATATATACTCTGAATTCTAGAACAACCATTTGAGCGAAAGATAGAGGAAGAGTTATTAGGGAAGGATCTTGAGCCAAGCTCAGTTTGAAAAACACAGCAAAACTCTGTCTCCAGAAACTAAACAAATAAAAATATCTAGCCAAAAAAATGAAATATTTCTACAGTGCCATTATAAAGCATGAAATTCTTAGGAGTAAGTTTATGTATAAATTTCAGACCTGAAAGCCATAAAAAAGTTACCAAGAGAAGCTGAGTTTCAATGAAAAACTGACTGTTGTAAGGTTATGTCATTTCTTCCCAAGGCATCACCTGGCAGTTATTTAGGCTATACCAGTCCAGATCTCATAGGTTCTACTTTCTCTTTCTGTCTTCCTTTTTTTTTTTTTTTTTTTTTTTTTTTGGTAGGTATAAACTGACTTTCAGGTTTATTTTAAGAGACCTGTAGTAGCCATTATTAGTTGAATTTTGCATCCTCTGCTTCACAAGTGCTGGGATTAAAGGTGACCTTACTCGGAAACAGTCATTACAGGTGTGATTAGCCAAGTTATGATGGTGTTAAACTGATGTAGGATGGGCCTCCTAACTCAGTGTGACTGGTCTCCTCACACAAAAGAGCAGTTTGGATACAGTCCACAGGTATAGGCCAAACATCACGTGAAGGTCAACGCAGGAAACTGCCAGCTGAAAAGGACCCTCCAGCAGTGGCCCAAAGAGAAGCCTGGAGCAAATTCTCTTCTACCACCTTCAGTAGAAAGGAAATTTTAACAATGAAAACACTCTGTTCATCTCTTAACCTTCAACTCTTTGCCACCAAAGCAGAGAAATGGTTGTTGTTTATCCTATGAGCCGTTTGCTCTGTGCACTGTCAAACCAGTACAGCAGCCAGAGCAATCTTAAAAATCGCAAGCACAATAGTGTGCACCACTACACCTGGCTACAGTCAGTCAGTCAGTCTGTCTGTCTGTCTGTCTGCCTGCCTGCCTGCCTGCCTGTCTGTCTGCCTGCCTGCCTGCCTGTCTGTCTGTCTGTCTGTCTGTCTATCTATCTAATCTATCTATCTATCTGTAGTGCTGGGGATAGAACCAAGAGCCTAAAGTTTCTTAGGCAAGTGCTGTGCTGCTGAGTTACACACACACACACACACACACACACACACACACCCTCCAGACACCCTCCAGACACACACACACACACACACACACACACACACCCTCCAGCCATGGTTCGTTCTTTTTGGCATGAGATTGTGATCTGTAAGTCTACCTGAAGATCTATGTTATGAATGCATTTTTTACTAAACATTGAGGCCTGACTGGAAAAGATTCTGCCCCACCTTAGTATTGTGTATGTTCTTGAGTTTTTCCAGGATTTTGCATTCTCCCACTCAGTGTCGAAGCAATCAGGATTATCAAGGCAGTTTCTTGGCCAGCCCAATACATGTTCCCAAAGGAGCTTGCTCCCCTGTAGGACCTATATGCTTTCCTTGTTTCTCCAGCATCACTTGCTCCTGTGGGGCAGAAAGGAACTAGATAATCAGTTACTGTCCTCTGTCTACACTGTTTCCAGGGCCTAGATGTTTGTTTAAGCTAGGCTTACTGTTTTGTAGGGCAACATTACCATGTAAAAAGAAAGTGTTGACTGAGCTTGGCTCCTCCAGAGAACTACAACCTGTGACTCATTTATTATGGGTTTGCAATCAGTTCCTAACATGTTAGGTAAAGAAACAAACAACTTCCTTATTTTATGGAGTGCTAACAGAAGAAAACTCATTAATTTCCTAATTGTTCTCTTACCCCAGATAGTCCTCTGCTGGTGTAGCTGCAGCAATAAACCTGAGTTCTGCAATAACAAATTCTGTTGTCAGCCCCCCTTGGGAAGGTGTTGCATTGATGTTTGCTGTTCCCAGTGACCTTACCCTGTGTTCATTCTTAAGTCTATAATTATGTATTTGTCATCTGGGTCTAGAATAGTCCTTGTACGTTGAAAACAGTCAATGGGTTTCTATAAAAAGTTTCCTGTAGCCTTTTGTAATGCAGTCCTGTGAGTGAGGTGTTTACCTAGGAGCCCAAAGTTTCAGTAGAGCCATGATGTTTAATACAGCTTTAATTTACCTGTATAGTTGCTTAGATTTCAGTATTTATGTGTGATTTCACTTCTATCAAACTCCTACCAACTTGATAGACCTTAGAATTTTATTTTTTAAATACTGAATCTTTTTTTCTTCTTTCACTTATGATAAGTTGGCACTTTAGCACCATGCAGAATGAAAGTATGTATTTGGCCCTGTTGAAAATATACGTGCTTCCTTGCTACAGTCAACTAACATCATAATCCGTAGATTTTTACATCCCATTTTGTAGATGGGAAAACTGAGTCTCCAGGGTTGGGATCCTGGCCAACCTCAGCTCCCAGCCTTGTCACACCTGTCTCTTGAGTCCTAGATTGCTGCTCAGGCTCCTTATATAAATGCTAATTCTTTGCAAGTATATTACAAATCTGTACTATCCTACAAATATTTTTCTCTATTTTCATTTGTTTTTTTTTTTTTTAATGTCAAATGTTAAATCTTTCATTTCTGGATGTGAGACCTAGTTGAAAACATTTTCCTGTTTTCTTCGTAGAAAAGGATTCTGATCTCTATTTTGGTAGCATTTCTTTGTTTTTAAATTAAAGCTCAGATAGGGAGTTTATCCTTAAAAGGCAGCATTAGAGTATAATCTACTTCTGTTCTTTTTTAAATGACTGCCCAAATGCCCTGTGTTAAGGAAGAGTGAAAAGAATGAAGTCCTCTCTGTGCTCATATGTCTGCTTTTCTCTTTGTGTGTGTTGTGTGCACGCGTGTGCATCTGCATATCGAGACCAGAGGGCAGCTTCAGTGCTCTTCCTTGACACCACCCACTTTGTTTTGCGACAGGGTTTTATTGATGTGTTAGGCCAGAGTACTGACTGTCCACCCTTGTGCAAATGTGCACCACTGTTCTGGTGTTTGGTGGAGTGGGGGATTGGGTATTAAGATTGTTGTTATTGTTGCTTAAAAAAATGCATGGATTCTAAGGATTAAACTCAGGTCTTTATGGTTGTAAAACATGCACTTCACTGACTGAGCCATCTATCTAAACCCATATCTGATTTTATATATTATAGGTGAAGCAATATTATAATCAGGAAATTAGAGCGGTAAAACAAGTCATCTATTCTGTAGTCCTGACCTGGTTGTCCATTTTCTTTCCCTTTAGGTGAACGAGCTGGATGGCATTCCTCTGATCCTGGACAGCAGCAACATCGATGACAACAACCCCTGTATCCTTGACTATGACCCACAACCAGGTGCTGTAGCCTGGCTTGTCCCTGTCTTGGTGTTTGTTCAATATGTAAAATGGCTAGCTCATAGAATAATGAATTAATTTTCAAGGTAACCAGGACATCTGAAAACAGTGTTTGGCTAAAGTGTGTGGCAGAGACAGCTCATTCCACTGTATATCGTCTTCCAAAGTTATGTGTGTGGTCTTGGAATAAGCATACAACACTAGGCTTGTGTTCACTGTAGAGATCTTAGACTCCTGTTAGTTAGCACTCTTTAACAAAGGCTTGACAGCACAGAAGCAGGAGGAGCATTCTGCACCCTAGCAATAAGAAACATTTCTGTGCCCATCATTTTTCCTTGCTCAGGGCCCTGTCCTGCAGCCCCTGCTGCTGAGGTGGGATTCTGCCCCTACTTGGGTTGTTGTCCATCCTCCCTGGCTAGTGTTCTGCATGACATTTTAATCATTTCTTCAGTGCACCAAGTCATGATGCCAAATAAAACTAATTTAGTATTGTGATTGGTCAGGGACCTGGTGCAGCCTCTTCAGGCTTGAAATGAGACCTATTTGATTATCAGAACTTACCTGACGAGCCAGATTCTATCCTGCCCTTTGCTCTGGGCCCTGTGTGGCCTGTGCTTTTGCACTGTAAGAGGAGTCCTTTTGAAGCTGAAAGTTGAGAGAGTAAGGCTTGGTTAGATAGTGAGGAGCCCATCCTAGGATGATTAGGGGTCTTTTACCCAGGAGAACCTTCTCTTGGGGGCTTCTGCTAAGAAGATAATCACATTTCAGAGTAAAATAAACAGAAAAATGCTTAATGTTTTTGTTAAAAATACTGCCATTTGCCCAATTTACAATATAAAATCTGATTTTGAAGAGCACAGCAGCACACGAGATCAGGAAAAGCCAAATCAAGAGCCTCAGAAGACTCCTTCGAGGCTCAAAAGAATTGACGCACTGTGTGCGCTGTCAGCAGTCACTGCATAGTACTCAGAGCAGAGTCTGGATGGCTTTTTAGCTCCAAGGAAAAGGAAAGACAAAGAAGAGTGTTTCTGTGGTGGGGGGGGGGGCAGTAGAAATTGCAGATGTCTTTTCAGGCAGAAAGCCAGTTGTCTTGACCAGGACTACCCCCAGTTTGTCTTCACACTCCCTAAACTGAGAGTGAGGTTGGGTTTTTAGCATTGGTACTTATCTTTACTAAAGTCCAAAGGTGAATGTTCCGGTGTGCTATGGGAAATAGTGTTCACAGCACTTTTGTCCTTGTTTAGTCTTTATTGTATGTTTTCATGTGTTGTGGCCTTACTTAATTCTGACAACACATGAAGCAGATGCTTATATGATCAGACCCCATCTTGTAGATGAGGAAATAAACCAAAAGTCCCAATCGTTTGTCCTAAACGTCAGTCAGAACTTATGCTTGTGAGTAGCTGGTTCTCCTGTCCTGCTTCCTTAGGAGTTGCTGAGATGAGGTGAGCATATACAGCCAAATCCTGTGAACGTGCCCATGCAGTAGAAAATGACTTTAAAGCATACATGTCATGGATGTCCATGTAGACAACTGGCTTTCGTGGTGATAATTCAGCATTGGGAGACACTCAGTTTGTCTCTAAATCATTAAGAAAAGAGAATATTATAAGTAGTTTTAATGTGTTTGATATTTCTTTGCAGTTTCATTTATTAGTCCCACCATATTTTAAAGTCATATAAAGTTATGTTTATAATAAGATGAGCTATTGTAATATCCTGAAATATCCAAGCAAAAGGCAAATGTTGAATTGTCAGAAATGAGAAGACATTACACCCCAGTGATTCATTTTTCAGTTACAGCTGTAAATTAAAATCTGGTTACCAGAGCAAATAGAGAACCAGTGTGTCACGTTGCCCACCTTACCCATGTGTGCAGCTGCACAGCTCCTTTGTTTCTGTTTCTCTGCTTTTGCTCACAGCAAGTTTCCTGAGAATTATCTCCATATCTTGACACTCTTCACCTCCCAGTTGGTCTTCTTTCTTGGTGCTTTTATTTCTTAAATGTTTTGTTGAAAATAATATACTTATGCTAGGTGTATTGGCACATGCCTTTAATCCCAACACTAACTAGGGAGGTAGAGCCTGGTAGATCTCCGTGAGTTTAGGGACAGCCTGGTCTGCATAGTGAGTTCCAGAACAGCCATAGCCAGAACAACATAGTAAGATCCTGTCTCAAACAACAACAACAACAACAACGAGAGAGAGAGAGAGAGAGAGAGAGAGAGAGAGAGAGAGAGAGAGAGAGAGGAGAAAAAGAAAATAATGATTTCTTTTGGGGAGTGGGGCATTTGAGACAAGGTTTCTCTGTGAAACAAGTCCTGGCTATCCTTGAGCTCACTCTGTAGACCAGGCTGGCCTTAAACTCACAGAGACCACCTGTCTCTGCCTCCCAAGTACTGGGATTAAAGGCGTGTACCACCAGAGCTTGGCAAATAATGCATTTTTAATGGCTCTTGTTTTTTCAAAGTACTAGAAGGCATTTAATGGGAGAGCTATAGATCTGGCACTCTCTACACTTTGGATTTTTATTTAAATTTGAGAAAAAGGTCTTGCTGTATTGCCTAGTCTGGTCTCAAATTTTCAATGGTCCTCCAGACTCAAGGAGTATGCCACTATGTCCAGATCTCCATTCTTTTTATTCCACCCTTGGAACTGTTTTTTCTTGTATTTGCCTTTGTCTATGGAAATGTTATACTGTGTTTTCCCCCCCAAGATTTATTTATTTTTATTTTGTGGTTATAAGTGTTTGCCTGTAGGTAGATAAGCACATCATGTGTATGCAGTACCCTCAGAGGCCAGAAGGTGTCACTGGATCCCCTGAGTTACGGTTACAGAGGTGGGATTACAGACATTTGTGATCTGCTGTGTAGGTGCTAGGAACTGAACATGGGTCCCTTGCAAGAGCAGCTAGCTCTCTTAACTGTTGAGCCATCTCTCTAGTCCAGCCCATAAACTGTAACAGGTAACTTTAGTACTGCCTGTTTACTTGATGGTTGGAACATTTAGCCTTGTATACACCATATCATTTTCCTCAGAGATTCAGCACTGCAATTAAGACTGCAGACCTCACTCCCCATGGTACATTTGTAAAGGGTCTGAGCATCTCCTAAAATGTTTATTTGTTCAGGAAGTGATAGGGCACATTTGTAACCCAGTACTCAGAAAACAGAGAGGTAGCTAGCTACCTAGCAAGATTCTGCTTTATGAAACAAGCAAAAAACTAAACCTTTATAAAACATGTTCACTTGCCATATGAATTGTGTTTGTTATATTTGCTCTTATATACAAAACATCATGTTCTTGATGAAGCCATTTATATATTCTTACACTGGGCTGTCTCATTTTTATTATTTGTGTGTATGTCGTGTATATGTTCATGTGGGGAGTGCATGTGTACGTGAGTATGTATATATAGTGAATGCATATTTGTGCACAAGCACGTGGAGTCTAGAGCTTTTACTTTGCATGTTTTTCTCAGTTACCTTCCACCTTATTTTTTGAGAAAGGGTCTGTCACTGAACCTGGAATGCCTAGATTTGGCTAGGCTTCCTGACCACAGAGCACTGCTGCCCCATTCCTCAGCACTGAGGTTACAGGTGATTTTGTATTGAACTACACTTGTCACCATCACTGGACACATAGGGTATGGACAGCAGGTCGCAGGTGTCTGTAGACACTTTCACTTCTACTTTCACATGATATATACATGCATGATTTTGTATGTTTCTGTAAACTTTAGGATCCACAAATGAGAGAAAACATGTCATACTTGTCTTTCTGAAACTGATGTAATTTGCTTGGTATGACCGTCTCCATTACACTCATTTTCTTAACAGCAAACCTGATTTTCTGTCTATACATACACTGCAATTTATTTATCCATCCTGTCTGCTGGTGGATATGTAGGCCGGTCCTATAGTTTAGCTATGATGAGCAGTACTGCAGTAAGCATTGATGTGCAAGTGTCTCTGACGTATTGCCTTAGAGTCCTTTGCATAATCATCCAGGAATGCCATGGCTGGGTCGGCTCTTTCCTTTGCTTTTAGTTTTTTGAGAAACCTCCATTCTAATTTTCATAGTTGGGTGGAACTGAGTAAATCCCCACCACATTTAAGAAGGGTTTTTTGCTCACATCCTTGCCAGTGACTCTAGTTCTTTGAGTGCTGTTCTCACTGGGGTGAGGAGGAATCTCAGTATCATTTGTTTGGTTGTTTTTTGCAGTTCTCTGATGGGTACAAGTGTTAAACATTTTTTTCATATATTTATTGGCCATTCATACTTATCTTTGAGGGTTGTCTGCTCACTTCATTAGTTCATGTAACTGGGTTGTTTGGTATTTAGTTTTCAGAGTTCTTTGTATATGCTAGATACTAATCCTCTGTCAGGTATATACCCAGCAAAGACTCCTCTCAGATTTTGTAGGCCATTTCTGCTCTTGATGAATTATTTCCTTAGCTAGTCATAAGCTTTTACTTTCGTGAACTATTGTTTGTTAACTGTTGGCATTATTTCCTGAGCAAATGGAGTACATGATGGAATCTTCCAATCTCAGGCCCCTTACTTCTCTTAGGTAGTCCAGCCAGGACTGCTAAAAAACCCCCATGCTCTAACTATGCTGTGTTTAGTTCTGTATTTGGAACCTCATAAAATAGGTTTCTTGGGCCAGGTGGTGGTGGCACACACCTTTAATCTCAGGAGGCAGAGACAGGTGGATCTCTGTGAGTTTTAGGCCAGCCTGGTCTATAGAGTGAGTTCCAAAAAAAAACCAATAGATATAGGGATAGAAATACACACACGCTTATATTCATGTACATGTTTCTTGGTCCAGCAAAATGAATCAGCAGGTAAGGGTGCTTGCTGCCAATCTTGACCACCTGATTTTGATTCCTGGAATTCACTTTGTGTGAGAGTACCAACCCCCACAACTTGTCTGACCTCCACACATGCTATAGCACATATGTGAACACACAC